CCCTACCTAACAAGTTGAAATTGTGAAAACTATATTGAATCTTTATGTAGATGCAAAACTATGCTCTCTTTGTTAAAAAAAAAAAGGTAAAAAATTCATTGACCTGGTCTCTGATTGTGTACTTTTATAACAGAATACAGAAAAAAAAGGGGAAATTTATTCAATCTATTCACAAATTTGAAAACCTGCATAAATTACAAAATATATGACCAAGATGAGAGAGGTTGTAAAAGATACAACTGAAATTCAAAAAAAGCATGGACCGAGGAGGAATTCTTTGACTATCATTATATGCAAGAGAAATACATAAATTAATAATAAGGAGGATGTGTTATATGAAATTTACAACTTTGCACCCAGGAAGTTTTTTGATTTTTTGTACGGACAGATAAAATTTGTTAGGTATGAGGAAATATTTTTCAACTTGTCCTTGAAAAGAAACACAGACATGTGATAGGTAAGGTCACATGAGAATGATTGCTTTCTGAAAATCTGCACCCCATTCTATTGGTTATTCATGACTGTCAAGAGGTGGTCTAGCTAAAATTGTATCTCTTACCACAGTCAAAAAACAATCTACTCTCTATCTATAAAGCACAGAATTGAATTTTGACAATCATTTGAAACGGTACCAGAATAAAATATCAACTTCAAATTACTGAGAGTCTTTGGGCTTGATTCAAGTGATACTACGTCTTAGAATGAACATTAAATTTAAGTTCTCGAAATGGTCAATATCGTATGGTATATATTCATCAGTGAACTTACCTGGTGTCATAAAGTTACAACAGAATCCCTGTAAAATCTAGAAAAATTGGAAAATTCATAAAACTAAGTAATTATTGAAAAACGCTGAATCATAATATTAAGCGTTTTTCAATAGTTAATTGCATTTTTATTAAGTTTTTTAGATTTTTCAGATTATATAAGGATCCTGTTATGTTATTTATGACACCAGGTATATCTACTGGCTCTTAATGGCCGGTTTAAAATGTTTAAATTTTGTGTTAATTCTAAGACGTATTATCACTTTAAACTGTCAACCACAGGAAAGATTACAAAAAGGGACAAATGTCGCAGTGAACTTTCTTGGAAGGAAGTGTGTTTAATCAAAAATGCAAAATCACTGAATCTTATGTTTTATGGGCCAAAAGAAACTCATGACAAATGTATATTTGGAAAAATAATTTCTTGTATCTTACAGACATTGAGGTAGAGATAATATGATATGCATAAGCAGGGGGTGAAACCAGGGAGTGGCAGGAGATTTGGGAGATTGAACTTAACATATACCTGTAGATTATAATTTAGAAACTAATTGCCTACAATTATTATATATTGCAGTAAACATAAGGAAGCTAGGATGAAAATTTGTTAAAGAATACATCATTCCACTCTCTGGAAATCTAAACTATAAAGAAAGACATAGATCCGCCCATAATTCAAAATTTGAAGACTGAATCATTCCGTAGCGTAGGCCTAGCATGCGTTGAAATTGGATAAAATGTTTACAAAATCCATGGCGAAAAAATCGGGACAAATGTTGACAGCAAATTTCATATCACGTAAATAAATGTTTATCGAAGAACTCACCTAAAAACAAAGATTACTTCATCAATTAATTTAAGACATTTTCCGATTTCTACTTAAGGTAGCATTTCCGGTTTGTACGACTATGCGCACAACTTGTTTGTTACTGAACAGGTGCTCGTTGTGTGACGAGATTGTCGTGTCGGTAGTCAATTTTTAAAAAATTCCCAAAAATGCATAAATTTACATTAGCCTATATTGCAATTTAGGGGCATATTTAGAAAATGCCGGTGAGGGGTGGGGAGGGGTAATAGGTGTCTATCAGAAGCGAATACTGAAGGGCCGAATCCCCTTGAGACCGGTATCTAGGGGCTGTTACCCCACCACACCTCTTTGAAACCAAAGGATTTCAGATAGCCTGAGATTAATTTTGAGCATTATGAGAGGCTTAATATTCACTTGAAAAATTGGCCTGAGGGGTATTGGATTTAATGTCTCTCCCCTTAATTGCTTTTGCCCCATTTGAACCCAGTTTTAGACCATAGCAAGAGGGATACAACCATTCAAGCCCCTGTAACCAATTTGTTTCGAGAAGACGCACAACGAGCTAGGCCTATCCCTGGATGATCTGAAAAAAAAGCTAACCGTCATATTTAACCCAACCACTAACAATAACCTAACAAACAATCGACGGGTCTAAAAAAAATCAATCAAAGTTTCGTCAATTTCGAATGTTGACAAGGCTAATAACTCGAATTCCGAAACATCCTGAAGCATAGTGTCTTTCTTTATTCTTTATGTTGAGGACACAAGAGCAGTCTTGGTTGACAATTTTTGTCACCGACTAGAATCTTGAGTAAATCTCACGTGTGCCCTAGCTTCCATGACAAGAGTAACTCGTTGCCGACAGGATTTTTAATATCAAACCAGTTTGGTATTTGCCTTCGATAAGTATAACTTACAATATATTTGTTATTCCTTGTAAGACATTTAGAAGTATCACAGCACATTAAGAAACACCAGTTTTTATGGATATAGACTTCTATTTATTATTGAAACACAATGTTTCATTACACATACAGGTTATCACTTGATAACGTTACCTGTGTGTGTCATGAAACGTTGTGTTCAATAATAAATAGAAGTCTATATCCATAAAAACTGTTGTTTCTTACATATATTTGTTGTTACTGTATTAAACAAATGAGATAAACATTAATACGTATTATCGGAGGCCGTATGGACAGGTCATCGTCGCTTACTAGTCAAAGGGAGGTAATCCGTTTTAATAATAAAAGAAAATGCTCAGGCTTAAGGACACAAATATTGTATAACAATATTAAGTTCTTTTACTCGTCAAGAGCTAGCTTGTACCCAGTGGTTCAACCACCATAGGGACTCTTAAGTGGCCCACTTCTCCCTTCTTCCCGAGGGAGGGGCACCAACACCGCAGGTCTTTTTACTCATCTAGTTGAGATATCAATACCTTTATGATGAAAACCATGACATATCAGGTGGGCGGTTATTGTCGTGTATTGCCTTGTACTAGATAACTTTATCAAGGTTATGTTAGTCCGAAGCTTTCTGACCCTAAATACATGTGACAATGCTGTCGATGATGTGCTTTTAAATGAAATACAATCCATAGTCAAACTTGGAAGCACAACATCAACCCAAAGCGCAATCCATAAGTACAATTAACATATAGACATCCATCACACAGTTCATGTCAAAGTTTCATTTACAAGGAGCAAGCGAGTCTATCAATATTGCTATGCCCTAAGTCAAAGTCTAAACCACAAAGGAGAAAACTTACATATAAACCTATCCAAAACGGAAGTCGTAAGTTTAAGGCCATACCAACAACAAGGATTATATCTAACTAAATTGATGTAAACCCTTAGTATCTCATCCGGCCTCATCACAAAAAACAAACGGCCACATTATACCTATCCAAACTGGAATCCGTATGTCTAAGTACAAACCGTACAGGAGAAAACCTATCCAAAACGGAAGTCGTAAGTTTAAGGCCATACCAACAACAAGGATTATATCTAACTAAATTGATGTATATCCTAAGTATCTCATCCGGCCTCATCACAAAAAACAAACGGCCACATTATACCTATCCAAACTGGAATCCTTATGTCTAAGTACAAACCGTACAGGAGAAAACCTATCCAAAACGGAAGTCGTAAGTTTAAGGCCATACCAACAACAAGGATTATATCTAACTAAATTGATGTATATCCTAAGTATCTCATCCGGCCTCATCACAAAAAACAAACGGCCACATTATACCTATCCAAACTGGAATCCTTATGTCTAAGTACAAACCGTACAGGAGAAAACCTATCCAAAACGGAAGTCGTAAGTTTAAGGCCATACCAACAACAAGGATTATATCTAACTAAATTGATGTATATCCTTAGTATCTCATCCGGCCTCATCACAAAAAACAAACGGCCACATTATACCTATCCAAACTGGAATCCGTATGTCTAAGTACAAACCGTACAGGAGAAAACCTATCCAAAACGGAAGTCGTAAGTTTAAGGCCAAACCAACTACCAGGAGTATACCTATATAAATTCATGTATACCCTTAGTATTTCATCCGTCCTCATCACAAAAAACAAACGATCACATTATACATATCCAAACTGCAATCCTTATGTCCATGTACAAACTACAAAGGAGAAAACTTACATATACCTATCCAAAATGGAAGTCGTAAGTCCAAGACCGTACCAACAACAAGGAGTATATCTAACTAAATCGTAATATCAATTCATCATACAGCCCTACTCCTAATCAGGATGTGCATACGGCCACATACCTCTCCAAATTGCAATCTTTAATTCAAAGTACAAACCCAAAATACAAATCCCGAATATTATATCTATCCAAAACGGAAGTACCTAAGTCCAAGGTCATGGCAACAACATGGATTATACCTATCTGCATCGTAGTCCATAAGTCCATTTGGCATAAAACCGTCGACCACAAGGTCCCAATCACATACCATGCCTGTGCATTCGTAGCATTATTGTCAATGCAATATTACATCCTTTATTCCCAATCACAAGGAGCAAAGGGCATTATTACGGAAGCGTATTAGGGCCATTCTTTTTTATTTAATTTTCAAGTTAGTATGTTGAATTTAACTTGAAAATTCAAGACACTAACACATACTAACTTGAAAATTCAAGTTACTAAATTCAACACACTAACTTGAAAATTCAACATACTAACTCAAGATACCAACAACATACTAACTTGAAAATTCAACATACTAACTTGAAAATTCAACATACTAGCTTGAAAATTCAACATACTAGCTTGAAAATTAAACATACTAACTTGAAAATTCAAGTTACTAAATTCAACATACCAACTTGAAAATTCAACATACTAACTCAAGATACTAACACATACTAATTTGAAAATTCATGTTACTAACTTGAAAATTCAAGTTACTAAATTCAACATACTAACTTGAAAATTCAACATACTAACTTGAAAATTCAACATACTAGCTTGAAAATTAAACATACTAGTTTGAAAATTAAACATACCAACTTGAAAATTCAACATACTAACTCAAGATACTAACACATACTAACTTGAAAATTCATGTTACTAACTTGAAAATTCAAGTTACTAAATTCAACATACTAACTTGAAAATTCATGTTACTAACTCAAGATACCAACAACATACTAACTTGAAAATTCAACATACTAACTTGAAAATTCAACATACTAGCTTGAAAATTCAACATACTAGCTTGAAAATTAAACATACTAACTTGAAAATTCAAGTTACTAAATTCAACATACCAACTTGAAAATTCAACATACTAACTCAAGATACTAACACATACTAATTTGAAAATTCATGTTACTAACTTGAAAATTCAAGTTACTAAATTCAACATACTAACTTGAAAATTCAACCTACTAACTTGAAAATTCAACATACTAGCTTGAAAATTAAACATACTAGCTTGAAAATTAAACATACCAACTTGAAAATTCAACATACTAACTCAAGATACTAACACATACTAACTTGAAAATTCATGTTACTAACTTGAAAATTCAAGTTACTAAATTCAACATACTAACTTGAAAATTCAACATACTAACTCAAGATACTAACACATACTTACTTGAAAATTAGACATACTAGCTTGAAAATTCAACATACTTACTTGAAAATTAAACATACTAGCTTGAAAATTCAACATACTTACTTGAAAATTAAACATACTAACTTGAAAATTCAACATACTAACTCAAGATACTAACACATACTTACTTGAAAATTAAACATACTAGCTTGAAAATTCAACATACTTACTTGAAAATTAAACATACTAGCTTGAAAATTCAACATACTTACTTGAAAATTAAACATACTAACTTGAAAATTCAACATACTAACTCAAGATACTAACACATACTTACTTGAAAATTAAACATACTAGCTTGAAAATTCAACATACTTACTTGAAAATTAAACATACTAGCTTGAAAATTCAACATACTTACTTGAAAATTAAACATACTAACTTGAAAATTCAACATACTAACTCAAGATACTAACACATACTTACTTGAAAATTAAACATACTAGCTTGAAAATTCAACATACTTACTTGAAAATTAAACATACTAACTTGAAAATTCAACATACTAACTCAAGATACTAACACATACTAGCTTGAAAATTAAACATACTAGCTTGAAAATTAAACATACTAACTTGAAAATTCAAGTTACTAAATTCAACATACCAACTTGAAAATTCAACATACTAACTCAAGATACTAACACATGCTTACTTGAAAATTCATGTTACTAACTTGAAAATTCAAGTTACTAAATTCAACATACTAACTTGAAAATTCAACATACTAACTTGAAAATTCAACATACTAACTCAAGATACTAACACATACTTACTTGAAAATTCATGTTACTAACTTGAAAATTCAAGTTACTAAATTCAACATACTAGCTTGAAAATTCAACATACCAACTTGAAAATTCAACATACTAACTCAAGATACTAACACATACTTACTTGAAAATTCATGTTACTAACTTGAAAATTCAAGTTACTAAATTCAACATACTAACTTGAAAATTCAACATACTAACTTGAAAATTAAACATACAAACTTAAAACAAAATTAAATTAAAAAAATAAAATTAATGGCCAAATGGAAATCCTTAAGTCAAAGTCATGAAGAAAAAGTCTGTAATAATTATTATAATGATACAAACAATGATAAAAAGACTCCCAAAAAACCCTCAAAGCCAAAAAAACCTGGCTAACAAATTGTTTACTTGGTAAAGTACCAATCATTCATTAATAACCTGAAGTTTAAAAAAACATTCATGAATATTAAGTGGAATCTTTCTGAAATCTCATTTCAAATCAGAAGCATGACCATGTACTTCATTATGTAGCCTAGCAGTTTAATTACTTAATTAACTTTGCAATCACAACTTTTTCTATATAAACCCAGCGAAAAAACAGAGAGTCATACAAGCTCTCTGTACTTGGGTAAGTTATGCTTCTTATAATACTAGTTATTTTTTTTTATATTATTCTAATGTAAAAACAACTATTGATAGTTTTTTCGTTAATGATTTTATTTATTTTGATAATGGCATTGAAACAGTCAAAAGTTCTAAATTTCATATCGGCTATGTTCTATGTTCTTGATACAAATACCAGTGCTAAAAATCTAAAAGAATAGACATTTAAAGTGATACTACGTCTTAGAATGAACATAAAATTTAAGTTCTCGAAATGGTCAATATGAGTATATATTCATCAGTGAACTTACCTGGTGTCATAAAGTTACAACAGAATCCCTGTAAAATCTAGAAAATTGGAAAATTCATAAAACTAAGTAATTATTGAAAAACGCCTAATCATAATATTAAGCGTTTTTCAATAGTTAATTGCATTTTTATTAAGTTTTTTTGGATTTATCGTATTATATAAGGATCCTGTTATGTTATTTATGACACCAGGTATATCTACTGATGAATATATGGTCTTATTGGCCAAGTTTAAAATTCTATGTTTATTCTAAGACGTAGTATCCCTTTAAGAACGACAGTCAAAAAATTTCAATATGTAGACAACTTATATCTAGATTGTTACCTAATCGTACGTTGAGTTAACTATAGTCTAATTAAAATTGTTTTTATTAGCTTTTAACTGTAATATAGCCACTTCAGTTAGGGTCTAACGACAACCCTCTTAAACGTTCGCCACATTAACTTTTGACCTGCTTCAACCAATCAAATTTCTACCCTCTCCAGCGCTAGCATTTTGTGACGCAGTGTTAATCAGGTTAGGTAAAGAGGTTGATTTGACGAACGTTCAAGAGGGCTGTCGTTAGATCCCAACTGAAGTGACCATATAAAAAATTAAAAAAACAAAAATAAAATGGAAAGAAAGTTCGGTCTATTTTAAGTTAGACTGAGATAACAACTCATATTTCGAACAATCGTGGTTACTAAAAAGCCAAAACTTATTTGTTTCCAGATTCTTTGAACTCTCTTCATTTACTTGTAACTTTTCGAAAAAGCAGTCAGATTTTCGAAGTATTTTCACGATAATATTCAGTCCTTGTTTTAGATATTGAAAAAGACCACACAAACTCCCTCTTTAAAGGGATTGTTAAGAGGTTTTCGTCAGACTGAAAATTGGAATGGTGTAAAATGATGCTACCAATTCATAATACTAATTTGATCATATTTGATTTCAGATGAGTTTAATGTACACTATGGCTTATCCAAACCGCTTCTACATCGGCTTGTTGCTGATATGGGCAGTCGCGTCATCAACGTATGCAGAATTCAAGACGTGTTTGATATCGTCTGGTTCATCCGTTTCAGACAATGAACTCATGAACGCTTTGTACCTGGCAGACCCTAATGCTGAAACCGGTTACCTGGACCTGACAGTCTATGGTGACAATGTCAGTGCTATGTTGGTGAAGAACACATTGAGCTACGACTCCTGGTTAGCAAGAGAACACGATGCTCGAGTTGACCTGGTCAACCTATGGTCCTACCTCAACTATATCACTGTGTCGGATATGTTCGAGCTCTACTCCCATTACAAAGTTGTCAATCAAGGGGGCAGCAAACCAAGAGGAATAATCGACTTGGACTCCATTGCTAATTCATTCGCAGATGCGTGTTGGAGTTGGGACAATGTAAAAGACACATGGCCTTACAGCTGCATGGATTCCGCCTTCTTCTGTAACATGCAGTATGGTCTTGATGCAATGAAGCAGTTGATCGTAGAAACCAATTGGCAATACGATAATGGTCGATGGGTACAAGAAGTGTCCATCAAATCCTTATCAACCATTAACGCAAAGTCAAAGCTAGGTGTAGATTCAGCCTCACGATCCGTCGTAATTGAAACCCTTTTCCACCAAGATATATTGGAGTTTATTCCCGAATCTGTACAGGACAACGTCTTTTATCATTCACGACTCATGTGGGAATCTCTTGAAGAGCTTATGAAAGGAAAGTCTTCGTTCGACAAGTGGATACGTAATTGGCAATATGTTGGATTTGAGGCAGTTGAAGATCAAGTCCAAAGAAAGTGTTCAGACAGGTCAGGGCAACCAGTCGCCCAAAAATACTATTGCAAAGCTAAAGACTTCGCCGCAAAAATCCGAACCTGCGCTGGTCTATCGGACGTCACTCCATGCGTGTACGACAACGCCGTTCAAGAATATTTTGTCAGAGGTCGATTTGCAGACAACGACGAACTGAGCCTTATCAATTCTGTTATTTCTACAACTCAAACTGTCTTGACGGAGTTCAAGGATAAAGTCGTAGCTAACGATCGCAATGGTCTCAACTCGCTATACAACACATACAATCCTTATATTACCGTAGACGACTCCATGTGCCACATAGATTGGCCCAGCGCATTCGACTGTACTAACAACATCGGATGTAATTCCGTCGTCAGTTCGCACGGATTTGACTGTAATGGTGGATACACCTGTAGAATCAACATGATGTACAGATTTGACTGTTTGCTGAAGTTCGTTCTTAAACAGACAAAACAGCTCGTGGACGTTGCAGCCAGTGGAAACTGGGGGAGATCTGAAGTTATCAAAGCTAAGAATGACTTAATGATATGGCTATCATATATACCAATGGCTCGCTACACAAGTTTAGCTGGCAACGAAATCAACGATGTCATCATAGATACACAGAACACAATCAGAGGATACGTTACTAGCTACGACACTCAGGGACTCGAGACTTTCGTCACCAATTTGCCCCACATGAGCTTTGTTCCTCAGTGGGCAAAGGATGCGGCTTGTCAGCAAGCTTCCGTCCCTTCAGAGTATACAATATTCTGCAACCTGGATCCTTTGTTAAATAGTGTTTTCCTTTTCATCCAGGCCTTTGAAAATAGCAAGCAGTCGACGACGAAGATTCTGAACCCAACTATAGACTATCGAACCCTTCTAGATCAGCTCCAACTTGATAGAGCAGCCCACCTGATCAATGTACAGACAGAAACAATCTCCAACCAGTTCAGAGGTGAGGTACAAACAAACTTTCAAGAGCTGTCCAGCTATTTTTCATCTCTAGCGGACTACGATAAAACCAAGGCCGATGCAGATATTGCCTACATTGATGGTCAACTTGAGGTATTCAAGGCCAAAATTACATCTGTTTCTAATTCAGTTGAACATAAGTTCACTACAATCCTTAACTTAGCCATTGGAATCAATGTAGCGGAGCTACTTCAGAAAACTGTTAAGGTCGGAGTGGCATTGGCATCAATGGCAAATCCGATTGGTAAGATTATTGGTGATTCAAGTGTCCTTGATTTCATGGACGCACTAAATGACTTAGCCCAAGCAGGAGTGACGACAGCAGTTATTGCTCGGTTGAGCGACCAAGAGTTTCCAGATCTAATACAGCAAGCAATTGATCTAGGAACAAAATTTGCCGATAATGAAGATCAGTTGGGGGATGCAAGAATATTTATTGATAAAATGAAAGATGGGGAAGACGCCGTAGATACAGCAAACGATTTTCTCGGAAAATACAACGATTACACGCCTAAAGTCTTATTGGCTGATATTACTTCTTTTGGGGCAAAATGGGAGACAGTCGCTGAAGACCTCTGTGAAGCTGCCTTTTCGGCCGAATCAGCCGGAAGTGCATTGATAGAAATCGGATTAGCTAGTACTGGTGACTGTGTTAATGTCGGAAATGAGATTGAAGAATTGATAACCTACTATGAAGAGCTTTACGAGTACCAATTTGATTTCATGGACTCTTTGTCAGACGCTGCTAGAGCCTACCTCGCCTACAAGAAAGCCTACGACCTGAAGTCTGCCTACACCAATACCAATAGCTTGAACCAAGCTTTCTTGAAACAAACCGCTGTAAATGCATTTATGGTATCAACACTGAATGTTTGGGAAGTTGTTACTGAATACTGCGATGCTCTTACCTACACAAGAGGCGGAGCAATACCTGATAAATGTGAAACAGCTTTGAGGGCTCCGTCCCACGACGCCGTAGCACAAGTCATGAGCTACACACCGGACCCTCTCTGTCATACCAACAATGAAATTACCGACTTCCGAGACATTCCCACGACACCGACCAATGCTAATGATCA